AGAATATTTTTTTCTCCAAAAATGTTAATAATATCCTGTTCCGTCATTGTATTTTTTAAAAAAAATCTATAATTATTCCTAATAAAATTCAGTTTTGCGGTATCGGTAGTGTAAATTAGATTAGTAGCAATACTATTTTCTTCAATTTCATAATCATGGTCAAAATTATCTATAATTATTATTATTTGTTCGAACGTTGTACATTCGAAGGAAGCTAAATAGTTTACAAGAATTTGAGTAGCATCTACCCTTGGATAACACATTTTAAAAAACAAAAATTTAAAAAATTATAATATGTACATACGCTATTTTTTATTAATCCACTGTGGAACTGTAATTGGAGAATGTGCAGTTTTTCTCTTGAAACAAAAAAAAAAAACAAAATCTATAAAATATCAATTTTTATAGTAAAAAATTAATTAATTTATGCTAGTCCTAATTAATTTTTAAAAATTTTCTATTAATAATTTTTTTCTTGGAATCAAAATTAATAACTCAACTAATATATACACTATTTTTTTTTCATAACTGTAAAATTTATAATTAAAATAAAATAATATTTTTTCTAATAGAAATTTTAAAATTTCTAATAAACAAAACAAATTCTATATAGTATATCAATTTTTATAGTAAAAAATTAATTATATTTATGCTAATCGTAATTAATTTTTAAAAAATATTGTATAGTTAATTTTTTTCTTGGAATCATAAATAATAACTCATCTAATGTATACACTATTTTTTTTTTATAACTGAATAATTATTTATTAGTATTTGTAAAATTGTAAAATACAATGATATTTGATCTATTCTAAATTTATAATAATAATAATTATTATTATTATTTATTATTATTTTGTTAAATTTTAAAATATAATGATATTTGATCTATTCTAAATTTTAATTTTTTTAAAATGTAATACTATTATTATCAAATAAAATAAATAATAATATACATACCTTTTTTTTGAGAGAGATATGTAAATTGATGATTGAATCAACCCTGGAAATCGCAATCAAACTAGATTTGAACTGCTGTAGATTTCTATTGAAATAAATAAAAACAAAATTTATTATTATTTAATAATTTTTATTTTTTAATTGATTATTTTTATGTAAATAATTTTTCACTTACTTTAATTTAAAACTTGAAAAAATAACTAAGTAGAATTAGTAAAAATTTTAAAGTATTCACTCAAACAGTGTTGAAAAAAATCGTTGTCGGTCAATTAGTATTGTAACAAAATTAAAATTCGGAAATCGAATGAGCAAAATACTAGATCTAACCCCTATTTATAACTTATTTTAAGCTAAACTCATCAAAATTAACTGAACTGAAGTTAGATCCATCTTGATAAGTTTTGCATAATCTACACATTTTCATTTTTTTCTAAATCGTTTGACACCGCCAAATCTATTGGATATTGCAAATTATAATATATAAATACTGTGTATTAAGTTATATTCATTTTATTAAATGATACCCTGTATATTTGTTTTGCGATTCTTTTAACGCCGACATATATTGGGTAATCGATGTTATAATATACTAAAGTAATGTATATTAAACATTTTAACTAGCGAATTTCATCCTGTATATATTATAGAATGATTATTAATTTTGGGAGCAAAAAATCTTATACTGATCACGTACAAATAAACAATGTAGTATCCAACTCGATATAAATTGTTGAATCTATACTTTTAATTTCGTTTGTCGTTGTCGTTAGTCGTTTGTCGCCGCCAAATATATATATATATATATATAGGATATTACAAATTATAATATATAAATACTGTGTATTAAGTTATATTTATTTTATTAAATGATACCCTATACATTTGTTTTGTATTTCTTTTGACACCGACATATATTGGGTAATCAATAGTATAATATACTAAAGTATTGTAAATTAATCATTTTTTTTTTTTTTAGCGAATTTCATCCTGTACATAATATAGAATGATTTATTCATTTTGTGAGCAAAAAATCGTATGCTGAGCACGTTCAAATAATCAATGTATAGTTTAAACTATATATAATATGTTTTTTCTGTGAATGTTTTGGTTACAGGCATTCATTAGAAAATAATAATATTATATCTTAGAATTTTTTTTTTCTTTAGTAAAAAAAAAAAAACAATATTATATTAGATTATTCTTTGTTTACTAACAAAAATTATATAGGACAACGTTCCGTTGTGGTTTAATCTGCCGGCGCATGTGCAAACGTTGGATCTCGACGTTGTATGTATGTATATAAACACATTGTATGAATGTTACTTACCCCTACTTCTGTCATCTCGTCTTCAAATATTATACACATTAAACACAACCGCAGCCGCAGCCGCCGCATGGTAAAAGGTAAGTTACCACGAGCGCGCAGCTATGATGAAATCGTACCACGTGTGTGACCGTCACATTTACCTCGGATATTTTTGCGTGGGGCGTATGATAATTATAATATACCGATTTGATGTCATCACGTAGCTTTGTGATAACAATATTCTACGTCATTTATTGCAATTAAAATTTAATAAAAAAAAAATTGCATGCAATGCATGACCTATGTCAATATTACGTCAGCTATGCGTATGTTGCAACAAAAATGACGTCAGCTGACAATATAATACACTCACGTGACGTCATTTGTTGCAAACAAATTTGCACATTCCATTGATATCATCGGAATTTTAATGGGTTTTTAATTGCCCGCTGCTTCCAGAAAAATGCTGATCTTGCAAATTTTTAACCGCGGCTTCCTTTGATCCCCAGAAAAATGCTGATCTTGCACATTTTTAATCGGTGGCGGCTTCCTTTGATCCCCAGAATCGGCGTTTTATAGACTACTGTTATCATACTTCGAATATATATAATAATTTAAACTACGATTTAAATTTACTACGATATGACCGTAATACCTCTTATGTGTTTACTACGAACATGAATACTATCTACACTAAACAATTGTCAAGCGAATTATCATTTCACTGATCATCCATGCATAAATCATAATATTAATTCTTTCTTTTAAGTTGTAACTTGTAAAATGTTCAATTTTGGGACTTTGGTTACCTTACCTACTGTTAAAATTAAAAATCTCAGTTGAAGCGGAGGAAGTTAAACGTTGAGTAGGTATATTTTATATTATGTAAATCGCCCGTAGGCCTAAATGTGTATAATAGGTGGCCACACTGCGCATTTACAGTTGGTCCTACTGTCAGCTTATGGGTCAGCTGACCGCTTCCAACAGTCGTCGATAAGGAACTTTAATCTCTGAAGACTTTAAAAGTTTATATTTTATAACCACATAATTTTCTAATTTCTATTCAACGTGTTCAAGTTTGCAGGTTACGAGGTACGTATTCTCTTACTTAATTATTTTTATATTTTCGGCGTGTAAGTTCATCAAATATTTTGCGCTAGGATTAAATTATTAAGACGTGATTAACCATTCATTTCCCAATTTTTATAAAAATATTTTTAATGATCAGGAATTTAGGGGAAAAGTATAATATATCTAAAGTTAAATGACGTTTATACCATCTGGATTCTGGTAGATGGCAATAATTTCTTTTATTACTATAGAGTAACACTTACATTAAACGTATTTTTTCTAACGAAATAAAATGTTGTAATAAATATGTTGCATTTCTACTACAATGGGTACTGAAATTAGACTATTAAAATTACCTAATCGCTAAGTACAGAAAAGGCACATGTTTAAGTTTTAACATTTTTTCAGGATAGACAAAAATCTGTCCAGGACAAGTGCATTTTCTGTATTTAGCGATTCAGCTGGCCAATAATCGGATATGATTAATTTATTTTTGAATTAATTGGCATTTTATTCTTTGCATTTCTCCCGAGATTTTCACTTAGAAATAACATTAACATGTGTTTATTAGGTTAAAAAAATGAATTTTATATAGGCTATAATCAAGCGGATATCTTAAAGGGACGCCATACCCCCATTTATTCAGGAATTAAGTATAGGCACTAGTTTCAAAATCTTTATTTAGAGATTAAACTGTGATGCGTTATGTTCAGTTATTATGAATTTTTATTTAGGTAGTTAATTTATTTTTCAAATAAGTCACAGCATGGTCGGCCGTAACTTAAACACTGCATAAACTTAGTTTTCTAATTCCAAAAACTCAGCTTACCGGGTGGTTTTAGGGTAAAACACCTGATTATAAAAGTTTTATGTGAGAACATTTCCTATGTTTTGATGGAAACCAATTTTCAAAAGTTGGTTTGTAGATGGAACAATATGGCATAAAGAAAGGGTATTTTTTTAATTATTAAAATGTATGTATATATCCTAATATAAAAATTTAAATTTTAAAAATTTAATTCTAATAAAACATAATTAAAGTTTTCACCTTTCAAACAAATTTTAATTTATATCTGCTTGCATTTGTAGACTTCATATCTTTGGAAATACAAAAGTACACATGATACGAGTATATTATATGATATGTATTGTCACACATTTTATAAATAAAAAAAAACAAACTTTAAAAAATATTAGGTAAAACACAAAATTAATAAAATAAATAAAAATCTTATTACAAAATAAAAAAAAAATTAAAATAACAAAATGTTAAATAAAAAAAATATATACATATATAAAAACTATATAAAATAAAATGATCCACTAATAAATATTTTAGCAACGCCATCTATATACTCTCCACGTACTTCGCATTCCTCTGGAAGCGGGAGTGCACAGTCGACACATCTCCATCCATAGTCGTAATAGAGGTAGGCGTACCTTGTCAAATTTGGCATGTCTCTGACAACTCTCCAACAGGAAATACAATTGCTTCCTGTTGGGTCTAGCAAGCTATTTAGGTTTTCCATCCATCTACCTAAAACGAACAGATGTGTGATATTATTACACAAGTATTGTATTAATTTATTAATATATTTACCATTTTTGCCAATCTATAATGCATAATATTTATTCGTAGAGCTCTTGGAAATATTACGCGGCAAATTGGACATTCCTCCAGCCGTCGGCCACACGTATCGCAGCACCACCCATGATCACATGGCAAAAGAATATTTATTATCTCTCCTGCTTCTCCTCTGCTGCCCAGGCACACAAACCATCTATCGTCTTTCTCGCCTATATAAATACACAAAGGTATATAATAGTTTATTTCTAAGCTGTAAAATTGTAGTATGATAATTATTTTATATTTTTAAAAAAAATATATTACATTTCTTAATGTAAAATACAATTTGCAATATTTGTACCTGGCATTTGTGGTTGTTGGAATGATGGGCGCACTGCCATGACGATGTTTGGTACATCTGTTAATATTAAATTAATTAAAAAAACTTTATTTATTTAGAAACACCAGAACATTTTTAATACCTTCATTTGCAGGCTCTGCCACTTCCACCTCTATCTCTTCAATATTGTCATTATCTACAAATAAATAAATGCATAATTTGTGTAATGTTTTCCAAAGAAATTTCTTTAAAACCTTTAATTGCCTTGGTGTTCCAACACTGCACCCACGGCATTCATAATGATAACTTCTATACATTTAATAAAAAAAAAAAAATAAGTTAATATTTTAATTACTTTCAATTTTTAAAAATTTTTCTTTAAGTGTTGAACATACCTTCAATTTCGGTTTCTACAATTGGAAGCGGTGGCGGTAGTTGCGGTCTGGTAACTTGCGGCCTACCACGTCGAGGCTGTTGTCCTCTACCCCGACCTGTGCCTCTACCTCTACCTCTCCCTATAGGTAATCTTGCTGGTTCTTGATGTGGTGGTGACAAAGACTGGAGCAAAATTGGATTTTCCGGTATATTCACATCTGAATGAAATATAATTAAAAATAAGTGAATTAAAATTTAATAAGTGAATTAAAATGGAAAATCTTACCGAGAACCATTTGACCGATTTGCCGATCCCGATAACCTCTTGCCATGTATGCCACCCTTCTTAAAAATGAGATGATCCCATATCAGCCATTTCTGACATTTTGATGTGCGACCGTTAATATGTGGTAATTTGTATCTCTTGTTGACACAATTGATATCCAAACGTATAGCATTTACATTATATTCATCAACAGAGTCTGAACGCGGTCTTTTCAGACCTGATGATGAGCACGGCTGCGGGTCGTCCGAGTCTGTCGCAACTGGATGGTCTTTGTTGGAGACAGGCGGGCGAATGACGCTAAAAGTATTACAGTATGTATTCCAGTTGTTTTCTAATACTATTTCTGGGATTTGGTTATCTAAGTCGTCGTCTATGTCCATGTCGCTGTCTTCAGCTTATATACATTTCTATTGTTAATTTTTTAACTTTTAATGACCTGTTGGCCGTTTAATACTTGCTGAGTTCTTCTTCATACTCTGCTCTCCACATTCCTCAGTCTATCTGTTAGGGTGTAATTACATTTAATAATATTTAAAATTCCACCAAAAAATGTATTGTATGTTAAATTGATTAAATTTTTTAGTTACCGTAAAAGTTCCATATCGGAGGATGCTGGCCAATGGTTGTTCTTATTACGTTATGGAAGCTCTCTATGTAATTATTAGTTTGTATACTTAGTTGGTAAACAGAGAATCCAGCTGGGCGAATGACGTCTAACCAATAATACTGAAAATAGTTAAATAATTTGGTCAGTATATCTTGAACGCCCATCTGTGTGGCCAATTGTACGATAGCATTAAAACCTCCAGTTATGCTGAATTCATCTGGCAGACCTTCTGCCCTCTCTACTGGCAAATGCGGTAATGCCATGATCTATTAAAATAACAAAAAAATAAAATTGTAAATATAGTAACAATTCATTATATTTTGTTAGGCCTTATTTTGATTTATGAACTACTATCCTCAAAACCATTGCTGCATTACTATCATTTCTGACAACACCAGCAAGATTATGTTGTTAAACGAATCGTACAATGCTCTATAAATAAAAAATGTAAGTTCATGTTTTGTCTTCTTTTTCTGCTAAAATTTCAATATCATTATTTTATACCTTGACAGGCCTTGACGGCCAAACATTTGACGTTGGAAAAGTGAGACGATGTCGGACGATAACACATGACGTCTTAACCACCTGGGTTAATTAAAATATAATATTTCAGGAAATTAACTAACCTGGTTGAAATGAAATCAGCATCCTACCAAATGGGACTCTGCCATTACTCGTCTTACTGCGTTCCTCGATGCAGTTTCAAAATCGGTTACAATTTGAATATTTTGCCAATCCAAAATATCCACGCCGATGTCATCTCTTAAAAATTGGAGAAGTCTTATGTAAAGGTTTTCTGTCCTTTGATTAAGCAATGCGTAAACGATGGGAATAGACTGAAAAAAATTAATGTTTTAATAGTGTAAGTAATGTTTTTAGAATTTGGTTAATTAATAATAATAATGTTTATATTCAGCAACAATAATAATATAGATATACAATATAATATAAACATTTGTTGGATTACTATAACATTTTTCTATGAATTATACTATTTGTATGTATTATGACAGGTACGACAATATTATGACTTACTATGTTGTCCAAGATGATATGGATTGTCACCAGTTGATCAATTTCTGCTGGTACTCTTGGTCTAACTCCAAAAGTTCCATCAATAGTTAGAACTCGGCATTGCCGGAAATGCAGCGCAAGTCTTTGCAAAAATGCCACGTTGGCAAAGACTAGACCTTCGAATACCAAAGCGTTGTATTTTATGAATTCCAAGGGCTCTTGGGAAAAATTGATTTATGTAAACTTCAATCGATTTCCCCATTGAGGAGACAAAATTATTTCAGCCATTGCTTTTAACGACTGAAGTATTGCTGGTTGAAACCTCTGCCTCGCTAACCGCATCATCCTCATAGCTTCGTCCGCCGGAGTATTGAAAACTGCATTTGGAAATCTATCGAATTATTCACATTGTATGGTTATTCAAATTAGCTTTAAATATACCTATAATACTATTTTTCAATATATTTTCTAGTCTCTTACCTCCTGGAAACTTCTTCATAAATTAATCTAGCTGGTGTTGCCTCAGCTGCAGCTCGTTCTCTCAAGTCTGCTGAAAATCTGCCTGTTTTAACATCATGTCCAGGTTCATGATTGTGTCTCGTGTTCTGCATTATTGGACTGTTTTCTGGTAAAAGGGCCATAGACGCAGAAGCTCTACAGCCGGTCTCGTACCGTGTACATCTCAATTACCTAAAAAAAGTAAATTATTAATTAAAGTAAAAGGTACCTACTAGTTAAATAAATAATTAACATTTTTTTTAGTGCTTACTTGCGATTTGCTGATGTCTGGTTTTGCAAATATGTATAACCAGTGGCATCTGTATATACAAGACGCCCCCTCAACCCAGGCACTCTCCAAGATCGAGATCGAGACCGTGACCGTGACCGTGACTGTTCTCATCTAATTTTAATTAAATACATGATATAAAAATAGGCTATATCTGTTTTTTGCAACAAGTGGTCTCTTTTTCTTTTCGCCTCGCATATAGTATTTGAAAATAGCTAACATTTAACAATACTTAATGTGGCCATATAAATAGTATTTTGGAATCTGTTGAATATTAACTACTCTTTGTTTACTAAATAAACTTCGGTCAAAATTTAACCGAAATAAGAAAAACATTAGATGGTCATATTCAAATTTGAAAAATAAAAACGTTTACGAATGTAATATATTATTTTTTTGACATCATGTTAATGTCGAGCTATAACTGAAATATAAAAAAAAAAAAATAGGAGTTGTAATTTTTCTTGTAGTGTATTTAGTTGTGTAAGTTGTGACGCCGGGAGTAAGCCAACCCATTCATCAACGGCCATATAGACTTCCGTACTCCCAACAAGCGGAAATAAACAAGCAGGTGAAAGGACTACTAGAAGATGGCGTGATAATCAACAGTGAAAGTCCATGGAATGCGCCATTGCTTATAGTTCCCAAAAAAGTTGACGCAACTGACGAACAGAAATACCGAGTAGTGGTGGACTACCGAAAACTGAATAGCTTGACGGTTGAAGACGCATTCCCTATGCCCAACATAAACGAGACCATGGACCAATTGGGTAGAACCAAATATTTCAGCTGTTTGGACATGGCAAGCGGATACCGTCAAATGCCACTGCACCCAAGGGATCAAGAAAAAACTGCTTTCAGTACGAACTGTTACGTATCAGCAGTTTATATAAATACATATGGTGGGAATTGTCTACCACACGCGTGTGCTACACCGGCACAACTTGTCATTCTTGTAATTTGGGTTTCATAATAAACATCAGCGAATATTATTATTTATATTAATCTAATTGTGTTCTACTTTTATTCTAAGGTATAACAAATTGGCGACGAAGAAACTCTTTATTTCTCACATAGACCATACTGTCTATTAAAAGTAAATTAAAATTATTTACGTGTCTAAGAAGTTCAGTGAATTTGTAATAAACTTTTTTTTAAAAATGGTTGAAACCAAAGAAACCGTTAAATTCAATCAAGTAATTGGAACACCCGGAACATTTGAACCTGGAATGGACGTGACCATATTCGAATCTAAGCTGACAAATTTTTTTCTGGCAAACGGAATCGAAAACGAAGTTCAAAAGAAAGCCATATTGCTTTCATCAGTAAGTGAAGAAATTCATACAATTTTATTCAGTTTATGCGTTCCAAGCACACCAGACACTCAGACTTATGCTACACTTATTGGTCTTTTAAATAAATACTATAAACCATTATAGTCCTACTTCGCTGCGAGACATGCGTTTTATCAAGCCAAAAAAATGTACAAATGAAACTGTTGCTGAATGGGGTGCCCGAGTCAAAAACCTTGCATCCAAATGCAATTTCTCGCCAGAATTATCTACTGTCATCCGTGATATTTTCGTAGTAGGTATGGATCCGAGAAAAGTGCAAGACCGACTACTGGAAGAAGATGCTTCTAAAGTAAGCACAACATTTACAAGCCTCTCAGAAATAGCTACTGCTAAAGAGGCTACTTTGAAAGAAAAAAATGGCTGGGAGAAGGACGAAGCCGACCTCAAATTCCAGAGGCAGTCGCGCAAGTTCAAACCAGCTGATCGTCAGACAACTTCAGATAAACCAAGGTGCGGGGTATGCGGTCGTTCAAACCACGCCCAAAAGGACTGCAAATACAAGAACTACAGCTGTAACATTTGTAATGTCAAAGGTCACCTAGCTCCTATGTGTACTAAAAAGGGTAAGAATGATCAACCAAACTATAATAAGTCTGCCCATAATAAATTTATATCACAGAATTCGAATGAAAATGTAGATGAAAATGATATTATGTATAATTTATTTGATACCTTTTTTTGTATAAGGGAACAACATAATTCTCAAAGTAGAATAAAGCCTTATACAATTAACCTATCAATTGAAAATAAAAAAATTAATTTTGAAATAGATACGGGGTCTAAGTACAGTGTTATATCAAAAGAAATGTATGATTCTAACTATAGTAATATAGTTTTACAAGACAATGAAATTTCATTATACGATTATGTAGGAAATAACATAAGCCCGATAGGTAAGGTCATGGTAAATGCGAAATACTCAAACAAAGCTTTTAAAATTTGTATTTATGTCATTGAAAAGGGAGGCCCTCCTTTGATAGGTAGAAATGATTTACATACAATTAATTATTCACCTTTATATAAAAATGTAAATGACAGTGATAATTTAGATCTGGATCAAATATTAAAAAACTTTGAAGGACTGTTTACAGATGATTTAGGGACATTTAATTAATATGAAATTTCATTAAAAATTAAAAAAGGGGCTATACCCAAATTTTTTAAACCCAGGTCAATTCCTTTAGCGTTAAAAGCGAGTAAAGTAGAGACAGAAATAAATCGTTTAGAAGTCAATCAAATTCTTGTTCCTGTCGACTACAGTGAATGGGCAACACCTATTGTTCCAATTTTAAAATCACCACAAATAAGAATTTGTGGTGATTTTAAAATTACAATTAACCCAGTTTTGGAGGGAATGGAGTACCCATTACCTAAAATAGAATATCTATACGCAAACATTAGCGGTTCAAAGTATTTTTCTAAAATTGATCTTAAAGATGCGTACCAACAAATGGTGATTAAAGAGACAGATCGAAAATATACTACTATTAATACGCACGGTTTATTCAGTTACACTCGTAATCCATTCGGTATAAAAAGTTCAGCAGGTGAATTTCAGAAAGCTATGGAACTTGTCACTGCTAATTTAGAAGAAGTAGGGGTATTTCAAGATGATGTAATAATTGCGGGTAAAACGATACAGCAACATAACGATAGGTTAAAAAAATTACTTAATGTTCTTTCGGAATCCGGTTTAAGAGTTAAAATAAATAAATGTTGTTTTCTCAAAAATTCAATTGAATATCTAGGTTGACACGGTCGGGTATTGCCATCACCGCGGTCTGGACTATTACCCGGACCGCGATGACAATACCCGGCCGGGTCGTGCTTCCCTAATTGCCCATTAAGCAAAACCCCGGCGCAGCTTATCAGCAATGTTGACCGGCGCAGCTTATCAGCAATGTTGACCGGCGCCGGTAACATAAATACGGCTGTCACCGGACCGCCGATT